TAGAATGAATAATAAATTGGAAGCATCTTTCCTAAAAAAAATTATTGAATTTGACATTTGTCAAAAAATCCAAAACAACCAGCACCTTGTTTTACAGGTAATGAAATGTCTTGTCAGTTTCTTGAAAGTCTGTCATGGTCAGTAATGCTTTTTGCTAAAAATGCAACAAAATACAGAAGAAAAAGAGGGTTGCATCGATCCCTTGAAAAATATAGATGAGGCGAGAAATCGGGCTACCTCAGTTGTTCAAATTTCACCATGAATATCAATGTAAATAACTAAAAATACAAACTTTTTTTGACGTTCGCTCTCAAAATTTGATGTTTCATTTTTAACACTAGTGCTATAAAGACTTTATGGCACTAGTGCGATAAAGTAACATTTTTAATGCTACGGGGGGGTGTTAAAAATTGCATTTTTAACACGTTTGTAGAAAAAATTATTTTAAATCACTGAGGTTTCAGATTTTTAGTTGGGCAGAGTGACTTAAAATGCCGAGAGTGAGTTAAAATATTTTCAAATCACTGAGGTGATAAACGTCTACTTACCTTTATTGTTATGCGTTCAATAATGTCATTTTTAAACGTTAAAATGGGATAAAAAAAATTATTTATTTTTTACACTTTGGCCTATTTTGGCGCCCCTATGCCAGCTGCGCCCTGGGGGGGAGGCTCCCCCGTCTCCCCCCCTGTTGGCTACGCCCCTGCCCTGTTTATAACTGGGCAGTTATAACTGTTAGTAAATTAACCGGTTAATGAAAAAACCGGTGTTTTGAAAAAAATTGACATCCCTACGCGTGACCTTGACAAGCAAACAAAGGGTTTGTGTGCCTCTTGGCGGACATTTTAATTTAGGTTTGACAGCACTTTGAATTAGTCTATCCAAAGAACGTCACTTTGACAAATAAACAAAAAGTTTGTGTGCCTCTTGGCCGACATTTTAATTTAAGTTTGACAGCATCTTGGATAGTCTAATTGATTTTGGAGTTGTGTTCGTAGGTTTTCTTTTCATCTGTAAAGCCTAGTATTCATAACTGCGAAATTCGCACTTTTTTAACATTGCTTTGACAATTTGACGTTTTATGCGTGTACCAAACGTCAAATTGTCGAAGCAATGTCAAAAAAAAAACGAATTTTGCAGTTATGAGTATGCTTATGGGTGGATTTTCATGCATCCGTTTGTCCGACGAAATATGTCCGAAAAATCTTCTATTTTGACATATTTTTATACGATTATGTCAGAATAGAATGTTTTTCGGACATCTTTCGTCGGACAAACGGATGCATGAAAATCCACCCTAAAGCCTAGTACTCATAACTGCGAAATTCGCACTTTTTTGACATTGCTTTGACAAATTGACGCTTTATGCGTGAATCAAACGTCAAATTTTCGAAACATTTCGTATTCTGTATCTAAAGTTATTTTAGTGATAACTAAAGCCAATTTCACAATGAACGTAACGTAGCCGTAAAGACGTAACATAAGTCCTAAGCATGCGCTCATTAGATTTATTTGCGTCAAATATGTTACTGGAAACGCAACGTAAGAGAAGATGAGAATAATTCAAATTTTGCTTATTCTTGGCTTTTGATTGGCTCTGAAATTGAAATTTTGAATATTGCCGGCTCATGATTGGTTTAGGGGTGCGTTCGAAATCACCCTGGGCGTTACACCGAGTGCACACCAGCTATGAATTATTCATGGCTGGTGTGCACTCGGTGTGACGCCCAGGGTGATTTCGAACGCACTCCTGAAATTGAATTTTTGATTATTCCCGGCTCTTGATTAGCTTATTTTTGAATTTTCCCAGCTTTTGATTGGATTGGATTGGGAATTTTCCCAGCTCTTGATTGGTTTAAAAATTGATTTTTCAAATTTTCCCAACTCTTAATTGAGTTAAAAATCGAATGGCTTTTAACTGGGTTAAAAATCGAATTTTTGATCATTCCTGGCTCTTGAATGATTTAGAAATTCAATTTTTGATTATTCCCGGCGGTTCTTGATTGACTTCGAATTTCAAATTTTCCCGGCTTGATTGGGTTTAAAATTCAAACTTTGATTATTCCTGGCTCTTGATTAGCTTAGAAATTAATTCATCAAATTTTGAATACTCCCGGCTCTCGAATTCAAATTTTGAATATTCCCAATATGATTGGTTTAGAAATTGAATTTTTGATTATTCCTGGTTCTCGATTGGCTTCAAATTTTAAATATTCCCGGCCCTTGATTGGCTTAGAAATTCAAATTTCAAATATTCTCAGCTTTTGATTCTATTTCTAAACCAATCATAAGCCGGGAATATTCAAAATTTGAATTTCAAAACCAACCAAGAGCCAGGAATATTCAAAATTTGAATCTTGAACCCAATCAAGAGTCGGGAAAATTCAAAAATTGATTTTAGAAGCCAATCCAAGAGCCGGAGATATTCAAAATTTGAATTTCAGAACCAATCAAGAGCCAGAAATAAACAAAATTTTAACTTCAAACCCAATCAAGAGCCGGGAAAATTCAAAAATTGACTTTGGAAGCGAATCCAGAGCCGAGAATATTTAAAATTTGAATTTCTAAACAAATCAAGAGCTGGGAGTTTTCAAAATTTAAAGCCAATCAAGAGCAGGGAATAATCAAAAATTCAGTTTCTAAACCAATCGTGAGCCGGGAATGTTTAAAATTTGGATTTTAAACCCAATTAAGAGTTAGGAAAATTCAAAACTGGCTTTGGAAGCCAATCAAGAGCCGGGAATATTGAAAATTTGAATTTCTAAGCCAATCAAGACCCGGGAATGATTCAAAATTGAATTCCTGAACCAATCAAAAGCTGAGAAAATTCAAAAATAAGCCAATCAAAAGCCGGGGAAATGTGAAATTCGAATTTCAAACCCGACGGGAAACTAAATTTTTTACCAAATGTTGCTACAAACGAATTCGATACATTTTCATATAACATGTCTACAAAGTCTCACCCTCAAACCCTGCTCAAACCCCACTAAAAGGAACAACCCCCTGTTGCTACACTTTCGCTCATGTTGCTACACTTTTCAGTTTTGAAAATGTTGCTTCATAAGTTCATTGAAATCTTGCTATAAACCTACTAAAAACTACTCCCAACGATTGTGTTGCTACACCTTTTCTTTCGTGTTCCTACATAAGAAATTCAACAAACTCTTGTCCTGAGCAAAAACTATAACACAAATGACTTATTCCTACACAAAAACGAGTGTTGCTATACTTTTACTCAAGACGTACGTGTTGCTACTTTTTTTTCTTGCTTCATATTTTGATCTTGGATCTTATACTGCTACACAAATGAAGTGTTGCTACAAGAATAATCAATTGGAATCTTGCCCCAAACCTACTAACGACTTGTTGCTACCACAATTCCAGTGTTGTTACAAAAAGATTGCTACACCCGTAACTCCTAAACTACTCGTCCGATTCCGACGATTCTTGCACCAAATTGAAGCTGATCGATTTACCTCCGACTCGGTGAGATCGATGAGACTGCTCTTAACCTCGGTGAGGTTCTCCGAAGACCGTTTCTCTTCCTCGTCGATACCCTCGCCCTTGCACACCTCCTCATCAGTGCTACCGAGATCATCGCCGCCGCGGACGAGACGTGTGGCATGATTTACTTGACAAAGCGGCACGGCGGCATTTCCGTTGCGATTCCGGTTGACGCAAATAAATTTAATGTGCGCATGCTTAGGACTTATGTTAAATATATTAGCTTTGTTCGCGGGTCCGATTCCGAATCCGAATTGGTTCAGAACTAATTCGGGATTGTCGTAGAGCGCATGCCTAGTTAAGAATCGGTTCAGGATTTATTTTTACCGCGAACGATTTTGGAACCGAAAACTGAATACTTTTAACATTATGTGATTTGTGAACCTTATTAGCTATTCGATTTCCATAAATCAAAAAGAATAACAGAACCGATTTAATATTTATATTTATTCAAAATTCAAAAATGATCTATACATTGTTCATCCCTGAAATATGGCATCACTTTAATTACATTGCTTTTAGGAACTTAATCAAGCTCTAATTCTGCCTTGTCCTCATCGTTAGATGACAAATAGTCCGACTAGTAGGTACTTAGATGAAAAAAAATCACTAAAATTGTGCATATTAATAAATATATTAGATTAAATAGAGATAAGTAACTTACAATACTGTACAGCAAATTCAGTAAACTATAAACTCCGTAGGAAAAAACTAGCGTATAGTTTATCGCTTCAGCGTATAAACAATTAAAAAACCCAAATTTCAATAACGCAAACAAAAATAAACACCAGTCAGCTGACAAGTCTGACGAAATTGCGCATGATCAGCCGAACCGAACTTTTAAGCCTAGTCTCCATGGACGCGAAATCGCGAATTTTTTTTTGCGGATATTTTCCGATTGGTTGGAATTTGACATTTAACATTTGATTTTTTTATGGCGGGAAAAATTCGCGAATTTTTTAACTTCTTGCGGCGTCGCAAAAAAGTTAACTATTTTTTAACTTTTCGCGACATTTCGCCAAAAAAAATTGAGGTTATGTGGTGTTACTTTCAGTTTAGTTTTGTTTATGTTTTTGTCGGTATGTGCTCTGTTCTGTGCTCTGTCCTCTGTGAGTCGTTGATGTGTTTTGTACTTGTAGATACCTAATAAAGAATGGATACTGCCAAAGAATTAAATATTGTAGACCCGAAAACAGACATAAATTACAGTTTGCTGGTTGATGAGGAAAATTATAATAGGGCCTTAAATGTAATTAAGACAACACCAAGACACATATCTTTTTTTTTCTACAAACGTCACTAAAAGTGTCATTTTTAACGGATGCTGTCAGTGTCTAAAATGCCATTTTATGACACTGGTGCTAAAAGTGATTACTTTTAGCACTAGTGCTAAAAGTAATCACTTTTAGTGCGTTTGTAGAAAAAATAGTGTATGATATTCGTGCTAAAAGTGATTTTATTTTGTTCAAAGGGATGGAACACTCCGCCTTCGGCGTCGTGTCCCAAACTTCCATTTTCACAAAATAAAATGTCACTTTTAGCACTTATATCATAAATAACTATTGTTTTTTAGTAATCACTTTCATGGTTTTCAAGCATTTAAATCAAATTCAAATTGATTACAAACAACAACACATAGGTAACCTTAACCTGTTAAATAAAACGTGAATTTCGCGCTTATGGAGACATGGGAATAATTTGCTCGGAAATAGCCACCAAAAAATGACACTTAAAAAATTCGCTTTCCGCGATTTCGCGTCTATGGAGACTAGGCTTTAGTCCTAACAAAAATCCTCAGACTGCTAGAACCGATTCCGAATCAATTAAAACCAATTCTATGTGATCCGCGAACGTAGAACTGTTACTAAAAATTCAGAATTTTATTATCCGCGAACGCCACTTTTTACACTGCGCATGCGAATAGTCCCTGAATCGATTCGGAATCGGACCCGCGAACAAAGCTATTTCTTCCAAGAGTTTAGAACACTAAAGCCACTCGCTCCGGTGATACTCGACCTCGATTTGAAAGGAACAGACGCACTTCAGGTGCAACAAACACTTTTCGAAAAGAATAGGCGCCTAACGCGCCGCAGCTGTTCCGAACCTCCTCCTAGATGTGAAAAGAATACAACTCGACTCGTAAAATCGGAAGAAATTACTTCCGAGCGCACGAAAATGAGTGTGAGAAAATGTTATTGCACTCGGAGTGCATGGAGTTAGCAAGCTAAAACGATCTATGAACGCGCCTCTGTTGAAGGTGTCAATCTTTCAGCTGTCATTTTTGTTCTTGATAAATCCGGACCCGGAAAGAAAATTTCATTCGTATTCTTCTAGAATCTAGAAAACATAGGAAAGTACTTTAATTGAAGCCAGTTTTGTTCGGGATATAGCTACGGAAAGCTTTAGTGAAAACGGAGCCGCATCAAGCAAACGAGGACACTATGGACGTAGACCAGCCTGTCGCGAGTTGTTCAGGTGTGTATTTACTTTTTTACGGTTTTGAGGTTGATAATTTGTTGTTGTTTGTCAGTTTTGTTGATAATTTTTTTTGCAATTGGTATTTAAATTCCCAGCTATTGTAGCTAGTCCATACATCATTTTTTAATTTCATTCAAGTAGGATCAATTATCATTTTTCTGTTTTCTATGCTTGCCTGCATCTCACAATCTCACCTATATTATAACCACAGTATAATAATATATTGATATTATTAAACCAGCCATTTAAGACAACTAGGAAAACTCGCTGTGCTAGAATACATATTCGTTCACTTGCTTTAAAATATTCAAAAATTTTCCTGTTTTGATTTTAGTTCAAAGTATGTTATTATTCGAAACGAATAACCTTGTTCATATAAATGTTAAAATGTTCCTATTTTTTGAGTCGAAAAATTGTGTTAAATTATAGCTGTATGGTCTTGGTTAATCATAGGTTTAATACACCAATTATCTTTTTAATTATCCTACTTCGAACACCAAAGCGTCATGGATTCTGTGAATCCATTAAAGCTCTATTGATTAATAACAATTTTTTAATTAATTGACCACAAAATTCACTTATCGCTTTCACTAGTTCATACAAGACTGCACGTTTTATATTATAAAATACCATATATTTGATTGAGATATCTCAGGAATCCCATCAAATCAAAATCATCAAGTTATAAATATCATATTACTAGGTGAATTCGGTTAATACTCTGAGAGCTAAAAAATGATGCTGTTGGCAGAAGCCTGTATAATCTTCGATATGAAGTTTCAAAACTGATCATGTGGGCCTGTCATCTTTTTGCTCACTGAGGATTAACCAAGGGATTAACCCAATCCCACTATTATATCCTCTACTTACATTTTTCAATTCTTCTAAGGTATTTATTTATTTATTTATCAACGAGCAATTATTGCCCAATTAAAAGACAAGTATAATTAACAAGTGAGAATCTTAACCTAACCTATCACCTAGAATATCAAAACATAAGAAAACAATAAACAGTAACATATTGAAAAATATATATCATTAAATTAACATAAAACATAAGGTAAAAACTCTGGTAAAAACTACAAAATACTTTTAAAAAAAACTTAAAACTTTTTTTTTTTTCCTTAAATTATAACTATTCTTTGGGACATTAAAATATCACAGAGTACAGGACTTAAGCTGGGATTTAAAAACTTTTTGATTATCAAAACAGTCCAACCTGTTAGAATACTGATTAGCAAATCTAGCCGATCTTGACAGAAAAGAATTATATCCGTAGTTAGTACAATGGTGTCCAATTTGGAAAGGCTGATTTAGCCTTGTTTGTCTAGAAGGGACATGGATATTGACTTTTGCCAGTAGCTCTGGACCAAAGCTGTATGAGTGCAGTAGATTATAGAATATGGTGAGATCCTTGTGCATGCGTCTGATTTGAAGAGTAGTGATATTAAGGGAACTTTCAACCCTTGAGTAATTAATATCTTCAACTTCATGGCGTTCCTTAAATGAAATAAATCTCAAGAATTTATGTTGGACTCTCTCAATAGCCTGGATATGGATGTTGTAGTGGGGGGACCATACACAAGAACAGTAATCTAGATGAGGCCTCACAAGAGAACAGAATAATATTTTGATGGATGCTATATTAAGAAAATCTTTAGCACACCTTTTAATAAAACCTAAGATTTGAAGTGACTTTGATACTGCCATTGAAATATGGGGTATGTAAGATAAGTTAGAATCAAGGACATACAGATTCCAGAGGGCAACCATTTATAGTGTAGACTTGTTCTGTGGGATTCCTGCTACAACTGAAGACCATCAGATGGCACTTCTGAACATTAAGTTCCATACCATTAATTTCACACCAGTTGCTGAGACGATCTAAGTCGGCTTGCAGTTCTAGGCAATCAGCATTATTCTTGATTTTTTTGTATAATTTTAAGTCATCTGCAAACATTAGGAAGAAGGCAAAGAGAAAAGAGGATGCAATATCATTCACATATAAATTAAAAAGAAGAGGGCCCAGGTGTGAACCCTGGGGTACACCCGATGGTACTTTAATTTCGATTGATTGGAATCCCTGAATACGTACTATCTGTGTTCTTTCATTTAAGTAAGAGGAAAGCCATTCCAGAAGGACACCCTGAATTCCCAGACTCTGCAACTTATTAATCAAAACTCTATGGTTAACCCGATCAAACGCCTTTGCAAAATCAGTGTACACAGCATGAACTTGTTAACCCCCCTCCAAGGATTCCAAGAGATAGTCAGTAAATGTTAAAAGATTAAGTTCTGTGGAGCGATGAGAAATGAATCCAAATTGTTGATCGATGAAACAGCCTTTTAAACTAGCAGACAAATAATCACAAACAAGACTCTCAAACACTTTAGGGATACAACTTAATATACTGATGGGCCGATAGTTAACCTGTGAACTATCTCCAGACTTCAATATGGGAGTAATAAAGCTTGTTTTCCAATAGGCTGGGAATGTCCCGGTCTTTAAAGAGAGGTTAAAGATATGGAAAAGAGGTCTAGAGAACAAGAAGCTACAGTGTTTGATAAGTGATGGTGGGAGGCCATCAGGTCCTGGTCCCTTGTTAATATCCAATTTGGATATTTTTTCATAGATAGACGAGATAGGTATGTTATATTCCGACAGATTGATGTGCCTAGAAGGCAGAATGTCCTGCAATACACAGTCTTTATCACTATAAGTTTTGGCAAAGTATTCAGCAAACAAATTGACAATCCCAACTCCAGATGAACTAGTAACACCATCATAGCGCATTACAGAAGGTTTATTATTTTTGGCTTTTCTGCTGTTAACAAATTTCCAGACATTTTTTACAGGTATCACAGCACCTAACTTCATTTGGCAGTCCATTGTATAATTTCAGACTTTTAACAGTCGCACCTGGACCAGGGGGTTAGGCACTGACCCCAGTTTACTTTTTTTAGGGCTAGCCGAGGGGCTAGCGCTACTTACTCATTTTTACTTTCTCTTCAAAAATCGTTCAGGACTTTTATTTTACGTGTTTTTTCAACCTGTAGACATAAAATTTGTTGGGATTGTTGAAATCTTTGAAATTCACCGGATGTTTTTATAACGCGTACAGTCGTCGGTGAGGCACAATAAAATGGTCGGTGGCGGATTTTTGAATTTGATTGATATAGTTGCCTATAACTTCTACATCATTTTCATAAAAGCTAACGAGAATCGGGCAAGAGATAATCCAAAACAAAAATCTTGGAAAAAAGTTTTTCTAAAATGTTTAGGCGAGGAGTTGTGTCAAATTGATATGGGTAATCGTTCAAGATATAGAGAACTTCAAAATAAATAAACAGCTAAAGTATAACCATTATTAATTGAAACTTCATAAAAAAGGCGGCTCAGTCCATCTCTTTGAAGTCACGTGGGAATCCATAGGCGTCTAAATATTATTTTCATGTCAAAGTGAAACAAATTGGTTAATAAAGATTTGTCGTCTACCATGTTCGCGGGTCTATTTAGGTGCTTTATTGATATACCGGGTGCCCACGAGATCACTGTCCGGCTGCCATTTTTTTATTTGCCTATCAATATCAACGAAACCTGGTAGGAATGATATTCTAACCAAACGCCATTTTTATACATTTTTGACAATTTTCCTGACTTCCGGTTTCACCGGAAATGACCGGAACTTTTGATTTTTAAATGGCACACCCTGTATATTTTTTGTTTTTCGGATTCTACAGATCGTTTTACGTACTAATGCACAACTTTTGAATCGAGCTTTGTCTAAATTTTGTTTTTAAATTAAATTTTAATTTTTTAACTAGAGTGCCATGATTATCCTAAAATGACTCTACATACTTTACTTAATTTCAGAAAAGTACAAACTCAATTTTATCTGCGTAAACTTTTTTGATACAGGGCTGTCAACTACATTATTTTAGTATTTTTGCCCTAGCTCAAAAACTAGAATAGAAACATATCACTTTCATAACATTTAACATTACTAAATGCAGTATTTTGAAGCAAATCCAACGATATAATACACTACGACATTTTTCTTAATTTTCATTCTAATATTTTTTGTTTCATTATAAAGGTTTTTTTTTTTCTACCTAAATTTTAATTTGAAAACGAAATTTGAACGAAACACGATTTAAAAGTGGTACATTAGGACGTAAAACGATCTGTAGAATCCAAAAACAAAAAATATACAGGGTGTGTCATTTGAAAATTGAAAGTTTCGGTAATTTCCGGTGAAACCGGAAGTCAGGAAAACTTGTCGGGAATGCACAAAAAAGGCGTTTCGTTAGAATATCAAGCCTACCGAGTTTCGTTCATATCCATGATCAAATAAAAAAATTGCAGCCGGAAAGTAATCTCGTGGGCACCCGGTATACAAAATTAAAATTCACTTATCACTTTTCGAAACGAAAACTACTCCACTAAACTCAAACTTATATATAACTATTTATAACGAACGCCATTGCCCCGAAATTCTAGCTGATTTACTTCTAGAATACAGTGTAGTCAATACATTAGATACATGGGCAAAATTTATATGGTAGGTAATCCCTAAAATTCCGTTTTGAACTATTGAAGTAAATCAAAATATAAATATTTCAATGGAAATTTCCCTTGTGCATATTTAACTGGAAATTTACCTCGTAATTTTCAAAAATTGACAAGTGGAAATATCTCTGGGGCCGTATTCTTGATTTCTGGGAGGAGAACTTGCTCGGGAAGTGAGCGTGGTTCACCTCAAAACGGTACATGTCATATTCTTGAAAATGGGACTGTAAAGTGAAAGTTCCCGGGAATTTTGAAGTTCCCATCCTCTCACCCAAGAGAAAACGAGTTCCCGCCAGGGTTTCTAACCTCAAAACTTGACGTTGTTTTCAAACTTGACGTTGTTTTTGTATTCTCCTTTCAAGTTCACCAAGTTCACGGCTTTTTCGTTTCTATGTGTGTCATTTTTATGAATGTGGATTATTTTAAT